TGTATCTGAAAATCTGTTTAAAAAATGTGTTTTTTCATTTATTAGCCGTTATTTGAAGATATTGGATTCAAGAAATGGTATACGCAGTGGCGGACTAAAAAGCGGTCCTGAAATCTGCAAATATTCGGAAAGTACTTTTTGTTTAACGGTCTGTTTGCATAAAATACAGATTAGAGATAGCTACAAAAAAATGTAAAGATATCAGATCGGGTGAACTTGCAGGCCAATTCAAATAAAAAAAGAGAGAAAGTACTTGATTTCTCGTGTCTCAGTAATTATTCCACGTATATTTTAAATCTGTTTTGTACTGCCTTCATCATCATAAGAGAAGAGGTAGTGTGTATTTTTTTTATTATCAAAAAATGATGGCTGAGGTTGACATAATTGTGTGACTGATAGAACTGAGTTTTCTTGGAAGATACAAAAAATCAATCATAGTTTTTGTCCCTCCATCTGATACATAGGTATTGAACTAGAGCCTAACGGAACTAACTGGTAATGAATGTGCTTACTTGTATGAATATAACGAATGAAACATTCAATAATTATGAGAAGGAAGATGTCTAATTTTTGTTGTTTCTCAAACATTATATAATTTATTAAATTTGTGTGGAATTTTTTTCATTGTACCTCGTATGCAAGGACAAATAGCTAGTAATAGTTTTCAGGAGTTGTTCCAGACAGTTTAATTTTCAAGTTCACCTTTATCATAAATCACATCAGTGACCTGATGATATCATATCAGCTTGTAACCAGTAATAATGGCCCAAACTTCACTTAAATGAAAATATGTTGACATCTAACGATTTCAATTTAAAAATAGGGAAGTACCTATTTACCATATTATAGGTCAATCTCAATAATCAAGTTATATCAAGCAGTAACAACGCTTCTATTCCAAAATGGGGTAGTTTTCCAACAAGATGGGCCTTCTCCTCAGTGATTAGTATCAATGCAACAATTCCTTCATAGTAACTTTCTGACCACATAGTGGCCACCCAGATCTGCCGATTTGTCACCACTGGACTTTTTATCAGAATGGTTGGAAAGTTTACGAGACATAGCAAACGTCTATATATAATCTATGATAAGAAATTATCAGGTGCTCAACTTATGATATTCTTCAGTTTTCGTTTATAGGTGAGCAAGTTAACGATGCTCAGTTCGAATATTTGATAAAATGAATGTCATTACGTACTGTCATCGGTGACATGAGTCGATTGAATTTATTCGTGAATAAAGTCGTAATTATATAAATTATTTGCCTGTGTTTTTATAATATTATCCAGATCTGGTACTGAAGAACTAATAAGGCTAGTGTCTTGAGGCCAAACATCGGATGTCTACCAGTGAAGATGACAGTGTTCCATGTCAGTGAAATTTTACCTCTTTCATTTACTATATTACTATATTACCAATAGTGCAACAATGTTGATCAGAAGTTACTCAACAGATCGTATTCAGCTAGTTAAATCTGGGGATAAATGTTCTATACCTCTAAGTCTCTCTTTTTTTTCTCTCTTTTCTCGTTCTCTTTAGTTTTGTTTTAAGGGTTGAATGGAAGAGCAGTCACCAGTATCCTTGGATAGGGGCGACTGAATTTCGCCCTTACACACTATTATGGGACTCTAGTATTGTATTATCGTATTATAATTAAGTGTGAATAAAGACATATTATTATTATTATTATTGTGTAGCAATCCTGTGAATGATATCTGATTCCATTCCATAACGAATGTTTGGAATAAAAACTGGATAGTGAAAAGTGTTTATTGTATAATTCGGTGTCCATATAAAAGTATTCGTTTCGGAAGTATTTTTTTTTCGTTTAATTCAATGTTTATATAAAAGTAGCTGTTTCGGTAGTGCTTTCCTATAGTTTGTGCCTGAAAGTTACTTCTTTGCATAATCTACACATCTTTGTTTCGAGTTTACTTATTTGAAGATTCCCACCGTTCAAATAAAATTACACACGACATCCATTTAAAATTGTTAACGTGAGTGTTGTCAGACGTAGGTGAGTGACAAAAAGTTTTTGTCAGTCTTTATTTTTTCACAGTCCCAATATCAAATGACTTATTCAGAGTGACTCGTTTCAACTGGAATATTCTTTGCTTCCCGTGCGAAATCAGGTTGAGTCGTGACTTACAACAAAGGAACAATATGAAAATATCAGTGTCGCTATTTTTCGGGTCTGACGTTTGGCTGGCCCAAGTGGCTAGCTTCTTCAGTGGTTTATACTAATATAGTTTCTAAAAAAGTGTTTTTCTTTGCTAAAAACTAACATTTTAATCTAATTTGACTGTTCATAAAACAATAATTCTACCCCACTTTGATTACTGAATACTGTGCTAGCGGGTTGGCTGTCCTTGTACCTCTTTCACTGCCTGAACCACTGTGCATGCTGTTTTTGGCGAGTACATTGGCTTGGGATGTGGGGGTTGAGCAAACCGGCCATCGGATGCCTGCTTCCACGTAGCCCCACTGGATACGAGCATGACAGAATCACTTGTGGTTCTGTTATTCCCTAACTGAATGGCATCCCAACGATGGCTTAATCCTAAGGTGTGTGTATCCGTGCCGAGAGGATGAATGACACTGAGCTGTCTCTACGGAACCTTCAAGATACCGGGCGCCCTCTCGTCATAGCATCGCTTTGTCACGGTAATGTGTGGCTCTGCCGTAATTGACCTTCTTTCCCTAGCTACTCGTGGGACATTCATGGGCAGAGTTAACTTAAAAATTCTTTCTGACGCTGAGTCTACAGAAATGGATGTCGAGCTTACGACTCCAATTGGCCTTCCTGTAAATTTAGATCAGGAGCGAGAGCTTCTCGACTCTCCAACTCCTGATCCAAAAACTGAACCTAAAAAAAAGGTTTGGTGGTGCAACCAGGAAACGACTGAGTCGTCTCCTCAAGAGCAGGGTACCTTATGAAACCACCTTGAACCAAATTCTTGAGCGGCGTACGCAGAATCTGTCTCAAGTGGAGCAGGTTAGCAAACGTTGGCGCTCAAGTGATGATTCACCAAAACCAGAGGCGAAAAAGCGCTGCACAGTTGAATCTAAGGCATTGTCAGGTGTAGCTGATGTGCACAAACCCTCATATGGGAAGGTTGTCGCGGGTATCAAGGTGGGGTTCTTGCACCTTGACTACCCGACTACCTCTTTAATGATGAAACAGTAGAGCATATACTTTCGGCAGGGCCGTACAGGGCCACATCTGACCTGAAAGACCACTCACCATACTAACTAATCGGCTTCGTTAAGAAGGTGGGTATATTTGGTCGAGTGTGAATAGGTGTGAGCCATAATAAACTATTGCGGGTTGCGGTGGAGGGTCGAATAGTAAAGTAAGCAAAAACCATAGCAATGTTCTTTTTAGATAGTATCCTTTAAAAAACTGTAAATAATTTCCGTGGCAACGTTAGTTTAAAACGACTCGACAACTTGTCCTATGTTACAACATTAGTTGTTAGTATTTTAATTTAAGTTCAAAGTTCGTTAACTTCAAGTCTGACAAATGGTTAGATTAACGGAAATGCATAAAATAACAGTTTTACAAATGATTGGTTACGGAGTTAAAACCCTAACTCAACAGGAAGTAGGTCACCTATTTCATGAGAAATTATCTAATTTACCTCCCATATCTCAAGGAACAATAAACAAAATAGAGAAGCAGTTTCGCGAGCTTGGTCATGTTGAGGAGATAAAAATGCAGCTGCCAATGCAATGAGTGATGAACTCAAATTAGATGTGATGCTTGAGTTTGAGGAAAACCCACGTACATCGAGTAGACAGACGTCCACTACATTCACTGTAAGCCATACATTGATAGTAAACATATAAAAAGAAAATAAAATGCATCTCTACAAAGTGATACCTACTCAGTAACTCATGGAAGACGATTTTGATAGAAAAACTTATTTTTGTGAGCAAATGATGGACATGTTGTATAACAATATCATCCAAATAGACGGCGTTATGTTTTCTGGTGAGTGTACTTTGTCTCTTAACGGTCATGCTAATCGGCATAATTGCCGCTACTGGTCAATGGAAAATCATCAGTGGATGAGAGAAGAACACTCGCAATACCCTCAAAAGGTTAATGTTTGGACAGGAATTGTGGGAAACCATAGCATTGGTCCCTTTTTCATTGGAGGCAACTTGAATAGCTATAATTATTTGGCACTACTTCAAAATGATGGCATTCCAAGTTCAGCAAATTTATATCTTGATTCAGGAAACCCTCAAGTTCCAGTGAATACCATATGCTTTCAGCAGGATGGAGCACCACCACAAGACCAAGTTAATGTCCGGCAACAACTCGATGCAACATTTCCCAATCGCTGGATAGGGAGGCGAGAATCGATTCAATGGCTAGCGCGATCACCTGATCTTTCATCATTAGATTTCTTCAACTTCAGATTTGAATGACTTAAAAGAACGAATAACGCTTGCGATTAGGTCGGTCACGCCTGATATGTTAAATAATGTTAGAAGACTGTTTTATTTGAGATTAGGAGCCAAGATATTCGCGGTGAACATTTGGGAAATCCAAAAATCGACGGCCTTCAAACCCGAAAAATAGCGACACTGAAAAGCTCGGCTACAAAAGCCTTAACCTAGTTTTGTCATGAAAATATCAATTGATAATAGTAAGTAGTTGTTAATAGTAAAGTCTGGCCAGAAAAAAATTCACAAACAACACACAATTTTTCGTCATACAAGAAAGTAACCGAATCTTATGGTTTCCAATAAACCATCACGATTAATCCGTTGTAAAATAGCAGTTTAAAAATTCATCGCCATCAATTGAAAATCGTTTCAATGAACCTCGTAAATTCTTCGTCGGATTCCCTTGTTCACGGTTCTACTAAAAAAATAGCCTTTTATAAGCACATAGGCCTGGGCATGGTGGGGAAGTAATATCAATCTCTTTACAAATTGAGCTCCCCATTACCATCCGAAGAAGTGCTCTCTTAACCATAACAGTTCTGTGTAGCAGGCCAGTACACATCGTGCTAAATAATTTTCAAAGTACAGTGACTTTTGGTGTTACAGTTGACAATAATTTTCTCGACATTAAGTTCTATTGTTCAGAGATAGTTTTCATCCGCGACAAGAAACTTTGCGAGTTTTGTGCGGGGATTCTCAGTGGTGATTTGTATTTCGGAAATGTGTTACTGATGCGTTATTTTTGACTATCGGGTGAGCTGCTATAGTGTGAAACTAGACATCGGATCTGCTTCAAAAAACTTCATTGATATTTTCGCATCATTGACAAATGTGTTACCACTGTTGATAACAGTCACTCGGGGATATGGATAATTTTACGAGGTGAGTTTTTCTTTTCGCTCATATTCGTTACTTGTGATCAATTTTCATACAGTGAGAGTCTCTAAGTTGGAATAAATTGAATGAATCAAAATAAGATATTTGTTGGAAAAATGCTCTGACACATCCATTATTAGGTATTTTAAGTAGCGACCTTTTAAGTGTATTTTCAAAACGTATCTCAAGTAAAACATAACTGCCCAATTCCAATTTCGTTTTTTGTGACGTCAAGATATTTAATAATGAAATTTTACTTTGAAAATAAATTGGATATGTTTTATTCACTTCAATTAAGATTTTTTTCAATGCATGCTGAAGTGTTCAACGATTCCGTTAAAAAAAATATTATGGATAAAATGTTGAATATGAAACTATAATAATAAACACTTTTCATTCACCTTAGCCCTTTCTCCTAGTGTGACAATGAGATTGAGGTAGGTAATGGAAGAAGATGGGAGAAGAACTAAATCCAAATTCGCCTATTTTCTGGGCGCAGAATTTCCTGCCAGAATTTTTTCAAAATGTTCAAAACCATATGAACAAATAGAAGTTTCAGTTGAAAGCAACTTACAGAACAGCAGAACCTGCTTGGACATTACGAATATCCAAGCAGGTTTTAAAAAATGGTTGGGTTTTATATTACTTGATCTTGAACTTACAATTGAAACTATCAGTAGATATTTTTTGTTCAAGAATGAGATTTGTTGAAAAAGTAAAGATGGTCTGAGTCAATATAAATAAATATTTGGTTGTTGCAATGTTATTTATTTTTTATCAACACGCTTTCATTAGCTTCACCTGTATGTATGTTTGTTTGTTTGGTTGTTACTCTTCTTTTCATTTCATACTTATTACCGTTTGAATGGGATCTGCATTTGACAGAATTATCGACATTATTGCTTGATATATTCACGGGCAGATGGCGCTGTACGGAACCTCCTGGATATAATTCGGACTCACTTTACATGTATTTCTTCATTTGAAAAAAGTTTTTTATTAACACGCACGCCTGCTGCCTTATTTGTAATCCTCCTTTGCGTGCCTGCTGCCTTGGGCTTGGCAGCTGATTTTCAGGCTCCCTCTCCGGAATCGGAAAATATCAATGGTCA